AGCTTATTCTCTGCAGTCCCTTGATGCGCTTGCAGTGTTTCGGCGGGAATTCCTGCTGGTCCTGCTATCTTCCCGGACTTCATTAGCTTCATTGCATTTAGAATTCCTGCTTTCGCTGGAGGATTGTAGTCCACTGGCAGTTCTGTGCGTGCTGTTGGTGATATTCCTGGGCGATTTGCAGGTGATGGTCGATTAAAGAGTTCTTTAAAGTGGTCAGCCTATTGTTCGATTTGTTTCTCCTCCTTGGTGATCGAGTTCTCTCGGGCATCTTTTATTGGTTTCATAAGCTGGGTTGATATCTTCCCGGATGGAGTCCTGTTTACCTCATACAATGTTCTGAGGTCTATTTTACCTGCTGCCTGCCTGTTCTGCTTCACTTGCTTCACTTCTCTTTTCAGTGCAGCGTACACTGAACTCAGCTTTTCCTTCTGTTGCCCATCTTTGCATTGAGTCATCACCTCCTCTCTTCTTTTAGCTTTCAGGTATCCACTGAGAGCCATTCCTTGTCTTGTCTTTTCTTTCTTCCTAAAAGTGTTGCACACGTTTCCTTGATAATCGCCTTCAGAGAGTCCTAATGTTCTTCCATGCAGGTTTCTTCAGTGATACCACGAATTGTGTCTGACTTTGCTCTGACCTGATCTGTAGCGAAGGCATCCCTTGGAGGTTTGCCCTTCAATCCAGTTTTTGAATGTTGAGCTTCAGTTGTCGTCTGTCTCCAGATATTTTCAGGCATTTAAGCTTCACCTTGAAGGTTCCTAGAAGTAGATGATGGTCAGGCCCCACATCTGCTCCCCTTCTCGACTTGGTGTCCAGAAGGCCGCGCTACACTCCCCTTAGCAGCACTGAGATGAAATCTATCTGGCTTGTGATGTGTCCTTCAGGCGAAACCCACGTTGCCGAAACCATATAATGAGTTTGTGCGAAATAACCCCTGCCTGTGGTTCTGGTACATTTGCTCACTTTGTCAGACTGGCACAGTTTCACCCAGCGTGTCCCCAGATAGCAGAAGTAGGACACCACTTTTCCTGCTCAACACAGTCTCATGCAGCGCTCTATCTGACGGCACGACATCACCGAAACTTGGTAAAAACCGCAAAAAGGAAATTCTAGCCCAAAAGACTGAAAACATCAATCTTCACAAACTTAAGACTTGCAAGGATAAACTCGGAACAGCAATGAAGATTGGAATTAACGAAGGACTGCGTGCATCCGCTAGCAAGCATAGCAATGCGCATAAAGTTCGGTTGCTCTGATGGTTAAAAAATAAAATAAAAAACATAACAACAGCACTCATGTTTGAGAATAACTTTATTTTCATGGAAAACGTCATAGTTTTCTACGGTAAGACCAATATAGTTAGCATCATACACTGCAAATGTGCACTATCATATCAAGTACTGTATAGCTTATTCTTGTATTTTTCTTGTAAATATACTTCCAATAGTGTATTATTCATGATTGCATTTTATACCACTTTGTAGCTGTGCAAGATTTTCTCCTCTTCCTGAAATAGCGTTCTAGCAGTGGTTGTCGCTCAACTTCGATGGAAACCTTCGTGGAAGATTTACAAATTAACAATTATAAGAATCTGTTCCGATTGCTTGTACTATATAATTCAACAATTTGAACTTTTAAAAAAAGCGATAATCTTACTATCCCTTGTAAACGTTGTATTTACCTCAATATTGGTTGGTTATCGTATGCCTACAACTACGGGTTGAAGACGAAACGAAGTCGATTTTCCTGCGCAACCTGGAGGACTACTGTTTAATTCAATAATGATACGACATGAGTCAGACAATGAGCGTATATATATATATCAAATATTTAGCTGTTCAAACATTATTAACTTGTAGACAATCTACTATTTGACATTATATCATACTTGATCGTGCCTGTAAAAATGGCATGCATTTTCATATAAATTTATGTTTATATGAAAATATAAATTATTATTATTAAGTACCAGTCAGACACTGATGAGGTCTAAATTAACCAGCCCTACAGAGGAGGAAAAACAGTTAAAGACCAAGCAAAATTCTGAGGAGGTCTGTCGGTCGAACTCCCTTACCCTGTTTAATGTACCAGTGTGCAACAGTAGTTTGCTTGAGCAAAGGGCTCTGCTTATTCAGGAACAGTGGTATAATTTTTGCAATAAATTAGGGCTGAACATCAATTCAGCAGAGCGAGACAGGGCTGCCCATTATTACCTAGGATATTCCTATTTGTGGTAGGCTGGATTATGCGTCAGACTGTGGGAAGCGAGGGGACAGGAATACACTAGATCACCGATAAAAAGACTCTAGAAGATCTGAATTCCACGCGTGGATGATTTATGCCTAATGTCACATAAACTCAAAGACTTGCAGGCGGAAACCAACAAAATGGCTGAAGAATCAGCGAAGACAGGACTCTAAATGAAAATAGAGAAGACGGAAGCGATGAAGATAATCAATCAACAACAATAACCAGCACCAACCACCATCAACAGATTATTGGGTGGCATTTACCGATCAACCACTTCTGGGGCAGGACACAACCAGCTGATGCTCAGCACCACCAACGTGACACGGGACTTGAACTATGACCAAGCCGCCCTGGCTGGAGATTTTAATGCCCCACCCCTGAACCTTGGTTCGGGGTATGCTCAGGGAAAATTCGGTCGTGGGGATAATATTAATTTATATTCCGTATAAACTGGTGTTTACGAGGAATGCATACCATTTTTACAGACAAGATCAGTTATGTTATAAATTACAATCCTGAAGTGTCATAAATTAGCACCTTTTCAAGAGTTCAAATTGTTCGATTATTGTACAAGCTATCAGAACAGGCTCTTGTAAATTGTAAACCCTTCGCTAAGGTCACCATCAAAGTTGAGCAACTACCCAAACTTCGTTCTGTTCCCTGCTGGTAGTTATGGTCAACCAGTGAAAAGAGTAAATGCTATGCCGCCACTTGGTTATAGGCCATCTCAGGGAGAGGAGGATGTCCTGGGAAACTGTAAAATGGCAGAAAATGCAATTATGGATAATACATCATAGGAAGTAGATTTACAAGATATATAGAAAAAGAAGTTGGAGACTCCTTGGAATGATAGTACACATTTGCAATGTTTAATGCCAACCATATCGGTCTAAGCGTGGAAACTATGACGTTTTCGGTGAAAAAACAGCTTTGTTGCGTTTTTATTCAAAGCAACCAGACCTTAAGGAAGCAGTAAATATGAAGAGTAAGTTTTAGCTCTGATAAAGGCCTGGGTAGTTAAGATTAAATTGAGCATAGTAGTGCGTAAATAAAAGGATTATCGTAAGGTGGATAGGTAATATTTGAGTGAGAGGTGAATTTAAAGATCTGGAAGAGTGGGACCCGTAAGACAAGCAGACTTGTAGGATGTCTCACAAATTCCTGTAGGGCCCGTGGAACACCATCTTGGCAAGAAGCTGAGCGGGCTTGTGGATGGTAGGAGCAGAATCATTTAAAAAAATTTAGATCTGTACAACCCTTATACTTTGCTTTTTGTTAAGGATCCAGACTAACGTCTAATTCTCGAACTGTCAAACAAAGGGTGCGAAGCCTTACACTGCAAAAATATGTGGGTGAGCGGCAATGTAGCTGCAACACAAAATTGATTAAAATAACGAGATTATCCATACTTGTATGATCGATATGCGTTTGCATAGACGAAAATAAATACAAGACTACTAAGGACAGTGTTACAAACTCTTGCGTAATGTTGGGTAGGTGGCGGATGTTAATCGAACAAAGGAGTAAGAACTGAGTGTAATTAATTGTTTTCAGACACTTTGAGAGTGTTGCAGATAAAGCCTGTGGTGGGTGAAATAGATTGTTCACCAAGTAGTGACTCCAACAGAGGTGACTTGCTGTTAGTGCCAGGACAGTGTGCCTCAGTACTGCCTGCACAGAGCAAAGGATGTGCACTGTTAACCACCGGGCATTGATTGGTAGAGGCTCTTCCTCCATTCTGGCGTCAAAGCGTTAGACATTATCCGTGCCGCTTGCATTAATACTGAAGACGAGATTCTGTATTGGCAAAATAACGTTTGGTCATATAACGTAGCGACGCAGCAGGTAGATTTTGTGGACCGCAGATTGGAATTCAGTTATGCGTATAATAGTAATAGTTCTTATTGTAGGCGTCAGAGTTATTGTGGTAGATACTGGTCTGTGAATGGTCTAGAATCATGTGTCATAATATTTTCATAGTAATAGAAAGCTAAAAACACCCTTCAAAAGGACTATTTAACGCACCAGTTGGTTGGTACGAGGTTCTCGGGAATGGATTTTATTGTGGTTCAATAACAGGCATGGGATTTCTGGTGAGGTTATAACATTCCGGTTGATAAATTTGTGGCCTAATTATTAGATCGACGGAGACAAAATGATTTAAATTTCTCCCAGGTATATCTTTTGTAACTATTGGACGTGTAGTCACATAACCAGTCACAGATTCACTGGAGTTCCGATCCTACATTACTGGTAGTATTCGGTAATTGAATACACTTGTAGCGATTTCACATCTCCAGGTATTGTAGGGCTCTAACTTTTGTGAACGGTGGATTAGTAATCAGTCTGCAGGTCATGTTAAAGGTAGTAGTTCACTCCTAAATGGTGTCTCAATTCTAGCTTCTGTATTTTTAAAAGATGTCATAGGTCTAATTCAGGATTTGTATTTTCAGCTTTGGTGTCAACGGATTGCCATTTACATATCCTTCTCACGTTTATTACCATTAACACTTTAAATGCGAGCGTTGAACAAACACACAGTAATCCAAATATTAAGAAAACTCTCTAATTTGTCGGCTTAATTAACTGTCTCACTGATTAATTAATGGAGATTGTGGTCAAGCAGGAGAACCCAAGATAAGCCGCCGAACGTTATCCCTATTCATATACGCAGGGGTTTATATTTAATTCTGAAGGAATAAATACAATCAACCGTCTGGTTCAACAGCGAAGCTTTTAATGCTTAATTTTGTTAGGCGCTGAGATTGGTTGTGGCGCGTATCCGTCGTTGACATACGTTTTATACAATATGACGAGGAAATCTTAAACTATGGCTAATAGGCGGCGTCTTACTGTGTCTGGTGATCATAAACCAGAGGTAATTTGCACAATGTTGCTGATTGTTTCTCAGGAGAAAACATGTTGGTCAACTCCCACTGTATATCATGCAGCTATTGTGATATTCTTGGAATTCTTCGCCTTCGGATTGTTGACCACTCCGATGATCTCGGTATGACTTAATCATAAAGTTATTTTTCTTTAGGTGTTAGATGAAACATTCCCCAAACACACGTTCCTTATGAATGGAATTATACAAGGGGTAAAAGGCTTCTTGTCATTCTTCAGTGCTCCGTTTTTGGGTGCCCTCTCCGATATGTTTGGGAGGAAACCGTTCTTGCTTCTAACAGTCACTTTTACATGCTCTCCTATACCACTGATGAAAATTAGTCATTGGTGGTATTTCACCATGGTCAGCATATCGGGTATCTTTGCAGTGACATTTTCATTCGCCTTGGCATATGTCGCTGATATAACGACAGAAGAGGATAGAAGTTGGGGCTATGGATTGGTAAGCATCCTTATTAATGATTTGTTTATCGAATTCTCATTCGTTTGGGTCAAAGATTAGTGACTCAAGCGAATGAACACATGAATTATTTTGCTCTAAATCCAAAAGTAGTATATTCGTGAGCAAATGTTCCAAGAAGGGTATTTACTCTACAGGTTCTCAAATTTAAAAGACTGGAACTACAACTTCGATTTTCCCACAAAGTGGCTCTATGGATCTAAGTGACTTCTGCTTGTGGTCAGGAGCTAGAGTGCTCAGTTAAAGTTAGCATTTGCTTTTGCGCACTTTCCTGATTTAATTCATTTCACTAATCTGGTGCAGTACTTGCAAATCATAAACTTGATTTTTTAAGATGATTCTGCCGGATAGCTGTTCCTTGACTTGGTTTTTGTGTTTTTCTAGACTTAATTCCATGATATTTTTGTCTGTATCTGAATTTAGTGATTCTTAGTTTTCAGTTCACCTCTCTAATCCTAACGTGTATGTCTAAAAATCACTTGACTATATGAGAATAGCTTGTGTTGGTTATAACGTATGAGCTGAAACGTGTATTGAAAAAAAACTAAGCAAGGAATATCCTTTTCGATAATTTCCTCCTCTGGCTCTACAATTATACATACATCCAAATATACACACAATATTCTAGAATAACCGTCACTAACAATATTGGTGTTTATAAATATTATAAATTTGTTAAGACCGATGAATTTACAGCTCAAGTAAGACGCTTAATTTATAATAAGCATAGAAATGTAATAGCAAATACAATATCAGATAAAATTAAGGAAATTTCCACAACTAATTGATGGTCAAGGTAAGGAGTGTCTGAACCAACTTCTAATGTGGATCCCAACAGCCTCAACAATATGTAGTAAATGAACGCTTAAGGTAAAGTTACGATTAGTTAGTATGCGGTAGATGACTTTGAAAGCCTCATTAACATAACTGTTGTGTTCTGTATCTGCAAGATAAGGTAGAATAGAGGTACAAATGGATTTTGTCTGTTTCTTACTTAACCACGCAGGATGGCGTTCGGAAATCCGTCGATAAACACGCCTAGTTGTGCGGCGTTTGTAGCTGGTTCCACAGGAGCAGTCAAACTGGTAGATACACACAGATTTTTAAATTAGGCAGCTTATATACATATAATAGGAGAGCCAGAAAAAGAAATTATCGAAAAGGTATTCTTTGCTCAGTTTTCTTTTTCTAAATGTCTGAATGAATATTTTCCCTGTATGTATTAAAGTTGTCCAGATGAAACTTAAGTTTTGAATGTTGTGTCTCATCATGTCTAGCCTATCCATCTCTACTTCCTTTTACTTAGGTTTTTCAACTCTAATTAGCAACTCATATTGTTTATTAATAAAACAATTAGGTTGGGTGTGTCCATTATCTGTGACTTTCTCAAGGCCTGTTTAGAATTCCATTTCTGGTGCACTGGGCCAGTAAAAACATTTTTTTAGACTTTGGATTCACTACTAAGGAGACGAGTCAGGAATTTCTGAATATTTTGGTTTGCTACAGGAGGATATATATATGTAATAATAGGTCTGTATGCATGTTGTCTGAACTTAAACAGATCACTCACGTACTAGACTTAGAGCCACATTTATTATGTAGGGGTGAATAAGACTACACAGTCAACCCTTGAGAGTGAAATAAATGTAGTAGTGCTGAAACCGGTGACCGTTAGCAGAAAACCGATGTCTTAAGCCAATTGGACACGTGTTTATATACATGCTTCCCGATTGATGCAGGTAATTTCTCTTGAGTAGGGTATAACATCATTCTATAACGAAATGAAATTAACATCGTTTTAGTTGGTCAGTATGTTGTAGCGTCTAAATATTAGTTACACAAATACAGTTTAACTTTGGGTGTGACTTTATCGTGTAGAAGCAAGCACTTTAAAAATGCTAATGAAATAAAAGTTTAAGGGATTACGTTTGCGATAAGGCAAATTTTTAAAGAATTAGAATTGTTTTTCGTAGAGATTTCATCCGTTATTTTTTTTTAACCCTTGAGGATGGGTAACTTTTGATCACTAAGGTGAACACTGTCCATTTTGGAAGATGCTTGATTTTCACTGTTGAATAGTTTTCCTAATGAAATTCACCGATCGAAAAAAACTATTATAGTAGTTTTGTTTACTAGTATTTTCCATAGCTGACAGTTTCATTTTCATCTACTCACGTTTGAACAGCCGAGATTCGTTCATGTTTACAATGAGTCATAAGTAAATGTAGTCCTTTACCTACATATTTTTTGTCTTTTAACTAGACGCGATCTTATAGTATCCTTACTTTAAACTAATGTGTAATTTTATCTAACATTGTTTTTTTTGTTGTTAAAAAAAAACAGGTTTCAGCCACATTTGCAGCCAGTCTCGTCAGCTCACCTGCAATCGGTGCATATCTAGGTCGAGTATACAGTGAAGAACTTGTTGTAGCATTGGCTACAGCTATTGCATTTCTAGATATTTGTTTTATTCTTGCTTGTGTACCTGAATCCCTCCCTGAAAAAGTACGCATTGGTCATTTATGCTCTGTATCTACACTGGGTGGTCCAAGCGGTAAATTCTCCTGGGGCAAAGCAGATCCTTTCGCAGTAAGATATTATTATTATTATTTGTATTATCATGATTATTGCTATTATTATTTAAGTGGCAATTTACACAGGTGTTTCTCATCTAAATATAATTTGTCTGCATTGATCTTCTGCCTGATGGATGCTGTCTTCACTTGTTGATAGATCTTGTATATCGCAATCATGCGTGGAGTCATACGGACTGGGACAAATGTTCTTGCAGATCAGATCGTACCGGAAAGGTCGTTTGTGGAGCAGGTAGATCAAAAGCGATTAGTATCGTAGGGTAAACGGAAAGTTTTATTTCATGCAAATAAGGACGTAGCAACAGTTTGGTGTCATAAGTTCATTGTACAGGAGTTCTTAGATGAGTATAAGATGGTCTTCCGAATAGACAAATGTGCATCTCCAAATAGATTGTGCATGACTGACCCCAGTCAGTTATGGCCCGGGTTCTGTAGTCACATACTATCAGTTCGTTTTCTCTTCCAGGTATTCCTGGAAGGAAATGATTTCCACTGTGTGGACAGTGGTGGGGTGTGTCGGGGGGTGGTGGTAGCAAGCATCTATTCACTTCTATTGACACAAATAAGTTCTGCACAGTTTATTAGGTGTGTGCGAAAGTATGTCCAATTCGGCAAGTATACTTTAAGTGTTGAGAAAAATACATTTTTATCAAGCTAGAACCCTAAATCACTGCGTTACTGTTCAACATTACAACTCACAAATTTAATAGATAGTAGAACAGGCAACATAAATTATAACACTCCAGTCAAATGCGCTCCAATATTCTGTGATGTACAGTCAAAAGAAAATAAAGGCGATATAATCAAATGGTATTTTGATATAGATTCGTATATGTATAGATTGGAGGCATTTCCATTTCCAGCGAAATGCAATTCTTATCAAAAACTGTCTAGGTTCCGTACTGACTAAAAATAGCCGACTTGTCAGAAAAGATAAGAAGTGATGAACTCTGGCAACGAATCATCCAAGAACCTATAGGTCGAAAAAATATTCAGAAGAAAAAATGGATATAGGTTGGGCATATGCTAAGGAGACTGTTGAATGACATCGCATGTCAGGTTGTTGAATAGATCAATTTCATTTATTCGACATATATTCCTAGCTTTCTCTCTACCCACTCTTACTTCAGTTAATAACATTGAATGTTAAGGGTAGGTTGTAGATAGCTAAGTTCCAATTAGGTCAATCGATAGAAGCCCACAGTCTGTACATTCCTAAACTGTTCGGATCGCTTACTCAAAGGAAGTCTTCAGTGCTTTCAAAGCAAACGCGTTTTTAGAAAGAAATATGCACACCTTTCAATTTTTTAGCGTTTTCACTGGAATAGTTGAATAATCTGTGTATTCTAAGTCAATCCAGGGGTTCCTCTTTATAAATTTGAACAGAGATGCAGCAAACATTGGTGCAGGTGCATAATATGAGACCATTTTATTTCGTCAGTTCTTGTCAACTTCATAAAACCCTGTAACATTGAATAAAACAAGCTGTAATACACTTTTAATATACACTGTTTATCATCGTGAATCAGTTCCTCCAGTAAGGATTGCTGTCTAAGTCAGTTCTTGTCGTTTTCCTTAGTTCAGAGCTAAAGTCTGTATGATTTCATTGAAGTTAAGTTTCGGAGGTCGAATTGGCTGTTGGATTATTGTAAAACCTCATAATCTTATGCACTTTTTCAAAATCTAAATCACCTGTCAGCACCAGATAAAGATAAGGCTCCAAATGGAGTCGAAGCTGTGGCTCGTTGGCTCACTAGTTGGTGTAGTGTCAACCAAGTGGGTCATGGGTTCGAACTCCACTCCACGCTTCCAGATTTGGATTTCTTATTTCATAGATTTGCAAGTGTTTATTTAGTAACACTGAAATTGAATGATCTACTCGAAGATATATGCCATCAAGCTCTACGACTTAGCATAGTTCACTTGTAAGACAGTTTTACTTCATCTCTTTGAAAGTAGTGCAGAATCAATATGCACATGCTGCTATTCAAGCTTGGGTTAGCTGGTAAGTAGTATAGACCGGGCAGTGAAATTTTGTTTTTCAGTGTGTTACACTTGGTGCTTTCGGCTGGGATCAGACTACCTAGAACGACTGCATAAATAACGAATATTACCGATGAGTTACCGACGCTTTTATCATCACTCGTTTTCTTCACCTTTGCATTATTATCAGATAAAACACAAATTTGGCACATTGTGGACATCAAGAGATGCGTCATACAAAATATCATAGTTTGTGCGAAGGCTGGGTTACTGCCAGAAGGTCCAGCGTAGAGGCAGGTGGGGCCACCTTATGACTTGACGTCTGATCCTGACACAAGGTAGTGAAACAGAGCATCAGGAGCCACATTCCCATGGGTCCAGGTGACCAAAACAGACTCATGCGCCACTTGATGACCCTTCTTCCGGAATCTGGAGCCTGTGTACAGCATAAGTTTGTAATGAGAGTTTTCTAACTCCGCTAAGTATATATTTACATGTAAATCAGTCCCGTTATAAGCTCCAGATGTTTGAATTCATCCTTTCACTTTTATGAGAAACAGCCCTTACCTGATAGGTTATGAACGCGTAACCAAATGAGAGTATTTCGAGGAGAAGATCGAAGTCTACCCACCGCCAGTCGTACCAGGTCTCTTATATCTCTGTCTGTCTGTCTTCGACATAGAACTTAGCACATATGTGCGGTAGTTCAAGTCGCCACACTCCCTTCTTGTAGCACACAAAGCAAGAGAAGAAAGTAGGAGAAATGCATAATATAGACAGTAAACAGAGGTGTGAGACAAAGGTATAGTAATAACGAAGAACGAAACAGTTTAATTGGAAATCATAATTCACAAGAAGTGGTTGTATCTGCGTTAGCCATTGAGAAAGATCACTGTGAGCCATGTCACCAATTGTTTCCATCCATTGGTTTTCACCGTCCCGAGGACCCCAACTAGTCAGGAAGTCTACACCTTCCTACGTGGCTTAGACCAACTGTTGTAGATTTCATTGACTGGTGCCATGTTTTCGTTTGACCGCCGCTAGCTAGCTCTTTTCCAGCCTGACCCTATGTGAGCTAACATTGTCAGTTGTCGAAGAAGGCGATGACTAGGCATACGTAACACATATCCTAACCATCTCAGTCGATGTAACTTCACAGTCTCGTCGATTGATTTCCCCTCTTTACCTAGCAATCGACCGATGCCAAACCTCAATATTGCTCACCTTATTATACCACTTCACGCGGGAGATAGAACGCAGACACCTATGATCAAAGACAGTTAATCTTTTCATGTCTTCCGCTCTCAATGGCCAGGTCTCACAGCCATAAAGGTGGACGGAGCGGACTGCTGAGCAGTACACACGTCCTTTGGTCGATAGTCGGATATCACGTCTATGCCAGAGATGGCGTAAATTGGCATATGCGAAACTAGCCCTATCTATCTGTTCTGAGATTTCGTCAGAGATCAACCCGTTGGCACTGGCTGATGGTACTTTCCAAATAAGTGAAGCGGTCAACGTCCTCTACCACTTCACTTCCTATTTCTAATCTAGGAGTCGGTGTAGGGTCTCTTATGTAGTTGCTTTCTTCACCTACCATTGCTCTATTTATTAGGGAAGATTGTATCCAGACTATGTATTCAAGCTTCAACTAATGTGTGAGTGTATGGCAGCTGCGCGATTTCTCCTAGTGACAAGCTAAGAGTCTTACACTCACCTTATGGTTGTCAGAATCTCTGTGAATTCCGAAGAAATTAACTAATAGTAATCATAATGATGACGACATGGCTGTAGATATTAACTCTGTGAAACAGTAGAAATGAGCTAGTTTGACAGTTGAGCACCAAAATTGGAAAATTTTCAGCAAAGAGACTGGCATTAATGCAAATTGCTTTGTTAGTATATAATTTCCATTCAAACTTTTCTTCAGTGTCAGTAGTGGCGGTGGGTTTTTTTTCCATTCTATAGAGTGAGAATGCTAGCAGCACCACCCCAACCCATCCTCTAACATCCCATCTTTTTCCGCCATTACTATCGGCAAGTAAAAGTAGGCGAAGTTTAGCATTGCGTACATCAGAAATCGAAGCATGGACCACAGGCTTAGTTGATACAAAAATTATACCACTGAACTACTACTACTACTGACGGTCAGTGTTGACCCACAGCCCAGTCAAGTGTAAAACGCTTGATTGATTGACTAACTGACTGGTTTCAAAGTAGAACTACTCTGCACAAATGTGTGCACTAGTTCAACTTACTACACTCCCTCCATATACCACACAAAGTAGGAGAACAGGGTAAAGACAGACAACGAACGGAAATATGAGGCAAAAAGAATAGTAGTAATACGGAAGAACAATACAATTTTATTGGATATGATATATCACAAAGAGTGCATGCATCTGCTCCAGGCATAGACAACGACGATTTCGAGCCATATCACCGATCGTCTCCAGCCTTCATTGCTTCTTACCATCCCGAGAACCCCAACTGCTCAGGGAGTCTAAATCACCCTACTTGACTGGCTTAAACTAACGGTCATGGATTTCACTGACTGATGAAGCCATGTTCTCGTTTGATCACCACCACTAGCTAGCTCTTTTCCAATCTGATCCATCCTATGTCAGTCAGCTAACATTGCCCGTCGGGGAAGGTGATGGGTAGACTAGGTTAGGCATGCGTAAAACATGTCCTAACCATCTCTTTCAATCGATGTAACCTCACAACCTCATCGATTGATTAGCCCTGCCTAACTAGAAGTCGACCGAAGTCTCACCTCAATATTGCTCACCCTATTATTCCACCTAACACGAGAGACCGGACATAGACACCTGTGATCAAAGCCAGTCAACCGGGCTATTCATGTCTTCCACTTTCAATGGTCAGCCTGTCACCAAAGCGGACTGAGCGAATTCCTAAGCAGTACACACGCCCTTTGATCGATAGTCAGCCGGATATTACGTCTATTAATCCAGAGATAGCGTGAGTTTGTATGTGCCAAACGAGCCTTGT